AAACGATTAACACAATTGGCATCTGTGACAGATATACCCAGATCGGCTACTGTTGACATCCCCAGGGTTATTGACACAAGGTTTCAAATAAAATAAAAAATGATTATTTTCTTTCTTTTTTTTTTATCTTCTAATTTCAATTAGAATTTTTTTTTATCAAAAACTTGCTTTAAAAATTGATTTATTTCTAATCAAAATTGAAAAATTTAAAGAATTGAACAAATCATTTGAAGTTGTTAGCAATCAAAAAAATTGAATATAATTAATCTGTTTTCTTTTCCCTTTTCTCCTTTTCCTTATCCTGTCCCTTATCTTTTTCCTACTTTCCTGTCTCTGTTTTCCGGGATATGCTACCAAAGGGGATGAGTCCTGAAGACACCACAACTGAAGACTTCAATACAACTCTACAAAGGGGCGCTCTTGACGATGATCATGAGTCACGAGGTGGTGTAAGGGTCGGTCCGAAGTTCCCCTCGATTTTGCCTCCCGACCGTCGCAAGGAGACCTCGAGGACCCCCACCCAGGCTGACTCCCAACAATGGTTTACTGGCCGGGCCAGGTGGAAGCCCATGACTGTGTGCTGGTGTATTGTGTTCACTGGACTGTGCTGTTGTGGCACCAACCAGAGACTGTGTTGTATCAACTGAGGACTGCTTGTCCGTACCTGTTTCCTGCAGCACCACACAATGGTCCATAAATCTTCCCACCTCTTGGCCAGAGGCCACTCGCTTTGGAGAAGGACTATAAAAGAGCGACCCTCTGGAAAAGACCCTTTGAGATCTCTCCACTGATGAAGACCTCCTGGAGAAGACCCCTGAGATCTCCCCACGGACGAAGACTCGTCTATCGGATGACCCACAAGGACGCCCGTCTCGTCTGTTGGTAGCTATTCTCCCATCCCTTCCTTTCCTTCCCCTTTCCCTATCCTATACCTCTCCCCTTTACCGTAACTGAATTGTTGGCATTTGATGAAATGCATTGCTGTTGTTGATTAAACTGATTTTCTGCTGTTGAATAAACTGATTTTGTCCCCTGCATTTTGCCTGTTTGCACCTTTGAGATCAAAAGAATCATCACGACCCCTGCTCTGCATTAATAGCGGATCGTGACACCAGGTAACGGGAAGACATCTCTGTTCCAAGCAGTGCGAATCTCAACCACATTTGTGACGTGCACTGGACACAGTCTGGGCTCTTAAGAAATCTCTCATTTTCTGAGAAAATGATCTCCATCACAGCCAGTTCACTCAGGCATCGGATACCTTGTTCCATTGTGCTCCATTTTCCTTGGTGCACCTGGAGATCTTCTTTACAAAGGTTTCTGTCCTTCACACTTGTCAGCAGTCGCCGACAGAGGCTGAGAGTTTCTTGGGTTCTCCCAATCCCCTGGTCAATGACCACATCCCGGGACAGGTGAGAGTTCAGAAGTCTGTTGGCACTGACATGGACAACATTTATGACACCCAACAACACCTTTTAAGTGTCTTCACTTTTTCTATGGAATCCCAGCCTTCAGCCTTCATTTGGTTACCTTTTTGCTAAGGACAGATTTCAACGTTAAATGCTAGCCTTGCTGGGGAAATGAGTATCTACCTTTGAATCAGCTGCAACCAAGCTCCGCAAGTCAAATGGGCATGGACATTTCACCAAAAAGAATATCTCAAAAAAAGCAATTGATAAAGGGGGTCTGATAAGAGCAGCATTGGCCCCTGATAGAAGTAAGGATGCCTGAAGTACCTTGGACCAGCCCAAACTGGCTTTGTGGTCTGGAGAAAGGCAAAGGATCCAAGGTGCATGCGTGAAGAACAGAGGTGAAAAGCTCAGTGTGAAGAAGAGGAGCTTACTTCATCTGAAGCCCCCTGGTCCATGACCACCAGAAGCCACTGCGCAGACGCATCCAAGAAGAGCCAAAGATGGGGACTGTGGAAATTATTTCCCACTACTCATTATAATAAAACCCACCTTTTTGGAGAAAGGTCTTGAGTATGGATAGGCTGTGTCACAATTATCTGGAATATGAAACATCGTTATGTCTAAAGGCAAAATAAATCACCACGGTGGGTGTGCACGTTTATAGCAGAGAGATCCCCGTGTGCCTAGTGCTGAATAAAACATACCTACTTTACAACCTGACTGGCTGTGGAGTCTTACCCTGCATGTCACAATGGCAGTCCACTTTTCTACAGCTAGATTCAGATGTATATCAGGTATGAATGGTAATTTCTTAAGATGAATTCAGTTACCAGACAAGAACCTAATCAATGCTGCCACCACCACCGAACCTTTACTCAGAAAGGAAAATGTAATTGGCTCAGAAGCACATACTGTAAAGGCAGAACAACATCATACATTAACATTCCTACGTATTTCACACTCAGTATTAAGGTGTTGGCTTGCAGGGTTTGACCAGTAATCTCATGAATGACTGTGTAGCATAGAAGGGCCAGAAAGAAAGTGTTTAGATATATATGAACTGAGAACTGTAGTGGTTTTCTTCTTCTTGCTGACTTTACTGACATTAAGGCAGAATATTCAGGGTTTACAGTGACAGTGCAGATCCTGCTTCATAAGGGGCAGTGACATGGAAAAGGAATTGTTTACAGCTTGACTGGTTAAAGGCTGTTTCTTTAAAAGTTGTTTTCAAGTACCACAGAACCAAGTTCTGACTTAGAACAGAAAGTGAAACACTGCAAAGATTTTGGCCAAATCCCCATCTCCCATGCCCCAGCCTCAATGCAGAACCGTGTCCGTGGGAATATTTTCATGTGACATGGGGAAAACTGCGGCAAAATGCCGATAACTCAATGACCATTGCAACTGAGGCAGGTGTTGATCCAGCAAGCTCATGCCACACTGATGGTCTTTAAAGGATGAACACCATTTACCTGTTGAGTTCGAGTGGCGTGGGATCCGAGACAGAAAAGCCCACACTGTGATCTATGTGACAAAAACCTTTATTGAGTTCTGACCTCGCTTTATATACCCCTTTCAATGTTCCAGGCAAGCGTCTGTGATTGGTTCCCAGGTCAGGCTGCCCAGCCCTCTGACCAATAGCTCTCTGCAGTCAGGGCTGGAACTCATTGGGTTAAATCCTTGTCTGTCTCTAATCCTGTCCTATCTCTGTTCTTTTGGGGGCTGGCCTTTTAGCCAGGTTACTTATCCAATCAGTAGTCAGATTAACTGCCCAGTACAAGCCAGCTTGTACTATGACAATTCCCTGTTTCTTTTTTATTAATTTGAAGAAAAATTTTGAAACTCAAATGTGCAGCTTGTTCTCTGTAATCTTGTCTGCAAGGGCCCTTTTGCATGCAAAATTACATTAACAGCATCTATTTAACTGGAATGGGGTTTTACTTAGCTTAATAAATTTGGCTTTTAGGATAGTGATGAGTTCCACATACCAGAAGCTGCAGGGCTTTTGTTCAGGGGCAGTCAGGTGAATTAAAACTTTTGGTTTCACATATAACAATTTAACTGTTTAACATAGAAATATAACTTAACTCTATAACCATAAAACTTTAAACTTTTCTTTTGAAATTATAACTTAATATAACATTCAGTTTCAGAACTGTGCTAAACTCCAACTTGATAAAACAATATTTAAACATTAAAACATTTAGTAAATGAACAACTCTATTATTTCAGTGTCCCATAAGTCTGTGACGTAGGAGAGCAGATTGTCCCGTTTATCCTTCTGCAACTTGCTCCTCCACACCTGTCGAGAAGCTCTCAGGAGGGTTCTGTTCTTCTGCATCTGGCTCCCCCACGTCCACTGAGGAGCTCTTAGGGGGACGCTGTCTGTGGTCCTGTTCAGGACGAACACATCTGGCAGGCACCCAGTGTGTACCTGTGTCCGTGGTTACACGTGCATACCCCCGTCCCCAGGTGATGAGATTCCACGGACCTCCCCACTTGTTGGTGTCGAGGTCTTGCACCATCACCTTGGGCTTAGGTAAAGGTTTATCACCAGATGATTGTAGTGATAGGAAGTGATTTAGGATAACTGGATTCTGGGAATTTTCTATTACTCTCAAGTGATTTAGTGTATACACAGCCTTTGCTGTTCTGGTCTGCAGGGTTTCACCACACATTCCTCTCTTTTGTTTTTTAAGTGTAATTTTTAAGGTGCCATGTGCTCTTTCCACTATGGCTTGTCCTGTTGATATGCGTGCAATCCCTGTGTGGTGTGACACTCCCCAGAGCTGTAAGAAACTTCTTGTTCTCTGTGAAATGTAGGCAGCACCATTATCAGTTTTGATGAGATGGGGGATTCCTAAGGCAGCAAAGGCAGATCACCAGTGTGCTATAGCATCCCGACCCTTTTCTCCTGTGTGTACTGTAGCCCTTATTGCTGATGAGAATGTGTCAATTGAGACATGTACATACTTTAAACGGCCAAATTCAGCAATATGTGTCACGTCAGTCTGCCAGATTTGCAAAGCACGCAGTCCACGAGGGTTTACCCCCATCTGCAGTGGTGCAGTGTGGCCTTGACAGTCAGTGCAGGTGCTAACAATGTTACGAGCTTCTGTGTTTGGCAGCTGAAACTGCCGCTGCAAGGCTCGGACACCTTGGTGGAAGAAATCATGTGACATTCTTGCTTGTGTTAGCATATCTGGCTGTGGTGCTGTCCAGGCAGGAGCGGCTAACTTATCTGCCTTCTGTGATGAAACCTGGCAAATTTGTGCGGCTTCTGATGTGTAATATATAGTAAGAACAACTTCTAGCTTGTATGGCAAGGCATAGAGTTTTTAGTAGCTTAAACAGTTGTGCATTTTCAACTTCCTTTAACAGTGCTTGGTCTAATCTTTGAGTGATATCAGCCACATATGCAGAGTCTGTTACCACATATAGAGGAGTGTGAGGGAAATGCTGAAAAGCCATAGCTACAGCTCGTAGCTCTACCATTTGTGGTGATCCACTCTCATAACCTTCTAAGGTTTGCCAATCACTCCCCTCTTTCCACGTTACGATGGTTTTCCCTGTTCTCCCAGAGCCATCTGTGAACACTGTGACACCCTTTAAGGGTATGCGGCTACTGAGAGGTTTGAGAGAGAGTTCAGTCTCCCCACTTAGCTTAAGCAGTCTATGGCTTGGCAAATGATAGGAAATCTGACCCGAGAAACCTTGCAAAGCACTTTGTAACGCTGTGCTGTTTGCAAAACACCATTCAAACTGTTCCTGCATCACAGGGATAATGATTTTTGAGGGATCCTTAGCACTTAACTGCAAACACCTGCGGCAACATTTTATAATCAATTGTGCTATTAACTCAAAGACGGTGGGAGCCATATTTTTGGGCTGGTGAGGCAAAAACATCCATTCTAACACATGCAGAGCATCAGGCCAGTGTGAGTTCCACTGCCCGATAATTCCTGTTGGATGAAACTTAACAATGATAATAAACACAGTAACACACACCTCTGGGCATATCTGGTGGACTTGTTTCTTTGTTATAGCCTGCTCTACTATTTCTAGAGCAGCCTTTGCTTTTGCATTCAGCTTGCTTGGTGAAGTCAGTTCTGGATCACCCTTTAACAGGTCGAATAATGGTGCCAATTGTGAATCAGTTAATCCCAAACACCGTCTAACCCAGTTGATAGAACCCAAAAGTTTCTGTGCATCATTTAGAGTTTCAATTCTTGTTGAGAATTGAATAGTTTGTGGTTGTATGTTCTGATCTAAGATTTTTAGTTCCAAATATTTCCATGGTGCTTGCTGCTGCACCTTTTCAGGAGCTATTTGCAGCCCAAATCTTTTCAGTGCCTTTAATAAGCTTGGCTTAATTTCTCTAAGTTCTTCTTTTGTCTGCGTTGCTACCAAAATATCATCCATATAATGGTAGCAATATGCCCCTGGAAATTGCTCTCTCACTGATGAGAGTGCTTGAGCCACATACTCCTGACAGATCATTGGACTATTTCGCATGCCCTGCAGAAGCACACGCCATTGATAACGTTGCCCTGCTACAGCATTGTTAATAGAAGACACTGTAAAAGCAAACTTTAGGGCATCATCTGGGTGCAACGGAATAGTAAAGAAACAGTCTTTCAAGTCCACAATCAGGATATCCCAAGAGGCAGGTATCATTGTAGGGGATGGCGTACCTGACTGTAAAGCACCCATGCTTTCCATAACAGCATTAATTTTTCTTAAGTCATGAAGTAATCTCCATTTTCCAGATTTCTTTTTTATAACAAATATTGGGCTATTCCACGGACTTGTGGATCGTTCTGTGTGCCCTTGAATTAATTGTTCTTGAACTAGGATTTTGAGGGCCTCTAATTTCTCTTCTGTTAGGGCCATTGTAGAACCCACACTGGCTGATTAGTGAGCCACTTCAAAGCAAGTGTGGGACGGTGTTCGCCCTCTATCACAACGGCCCCTGTTAAAAATCTGTCCCCACCCGGACTCCCCATGCTGACAGCACATCCCTCTCCCACACACTCATATAACCTGCTAGCACGTATGGCCTCACTGTGGCTGTCTGCCCTTTATCACTTTTAATCAGCACAGGATTATCACTAAGATAACTTTGTGTAGTCCCTCCAATACCAGCAATAGTGGTTCCTGAGAGTGTAGTGGGCCAAGATAGAGGCCATTTGTAAGCAGCAATGATAGTAACATCAGATCCAATGTCAACCAAACCCTTAATCTCTATCTGTGAGGGCTTGGCTTTTGGCATAGTAATGATACATTTTATGGTAGGTCTGTCTTTACCTATGATTTGAGTCCAAAATACCTCTGGTTGTCCCGTTGATCTGAAGCCTTGGTCTCCTCGCTCCTTTGCATCTGCACTGGGGACACAAGACTTAATAAGCACAAGCTGAGAAATCCTAGTTTTTTTAGGAATAGTTACAGGTGGAGAGGGAGTGGATACCATGGCATATATTTGGCCTGTGAAGTCAGCATCTATCACACCAGGATGCACAAAGATACCTTGTAACATAGCACTGGATCTTCCCAAAAGAAGGGCACTTAGTCCTTTCCCTATTGGCCCTTGAGCCTCAAGGGGGACTCTATGCACTTCTAGTGAGTTTATAGTTACTGTGGCTGAGGTGTAAACATCCAGGCCGGCTGATCCTCTTGTCCTGGCTGTGAGCTGATCGCAAAGGCTTGTGCAGGAGGTTGAGGAAACATTTCTGTCGGGGTGCATTCCCTCGTTGAGCTGGTTTCCATGTTTCCCTGTTCCTTAAGAAGCTGACCATTAATATGATATTTAGATCTGCATACCTTCGTTTCATGTAGTCCGAGTTTTCCACATCGCTTACAGAGGAACTTGTTGTTGCCCTGTCCCTGAGCCTTCTTCTGTGAGGCTGGTTTCACGGGGCAGCTCATTTTCACGTGGCCTGGTTGTCCACAATGGAAACAATTCACTTTCATCCTTACTGCAGCTGCAAAAGAGTTAGCTAACATATCCATATTATGTGACGCTGTCCCGACTTTAGCACATGCATTTATCATATCCTCCAGGGATGGATTTTCTTTGGGCAACGCACTTATAATTTTTCTACAATCCTCACTGGCATTATCTCTGGCCAATTGTAACAATACCTGATGTCTTACATCTTCATTAGCTATTAGTTTTTCCATGGTGTCTTGTAATAGTTCTATGAAATGCATGTACAATTCACTAGGATTTTGTTTTATATTTGTATATCTCTGGGTTGGTACAGACATGTTTGTAACTTTATTTAGGGCTCTCATCCCCAGTTCCTTTGCTTGGTTTAATATAGAAGAGTTTAAGCGAGCTTGAGTCTGGGGATCCTCCAGGGGATGCACTCCCATGAGTTGAGGAACCCCTGCCCCAAAGCATGGGTCTTGCTGTGATAGCCTCGAGTTTTTTAACTCTTGCTCTTCTGCATATGTTCTCCAGGCCAATTCAAACATCATATACTGCACTGGAGCACAGATTAACTTCGCAATCTGCTTTATATCATAGGGCGTTAACTCATTAGCAGTCACAAATCTAAGCATATTTCTTACTGCAGGGGATCCCAACCCATGCTTAGGAGCTAATTGGCGTAATTCTGCAAGAATTTGCCAATTAAAGGGTACATATTTATCAGGAATAGTTCTGTTTCCCATTATAACTGGGAATACCATCACAATATCCCCCCCACCCTGCCAATTCTCTTCTATTGGCGAAGACATAGGCACTGCAATCAGTTCAGCCCCTTCTAAATCACCAGATTCTAGAGCCTTTTGCTTTACCTTCATCCAGAAGAGAGCCGGGTCCCAGGAGGAGATGACATCTCATTTAAACATTAACGGGGCTGGAGCTGCTGTTTGGGGGTTGGCTGTCGAGGTGTAGTTTGTGTTCTTCTCTGGGATGTGTTGGCTGTTTCTTTGTGCAGAGACCTTTTGGAGCTGTTCTGTGCTCGTCTCCTGGTGTGGAGAAACTGTGGACGCTGTATCTCCAGTAGGATCAGGGCTGATTCTCGGTTCTGGAGTCGTTTTCAGGGCTTCGGTGCTGGCTTTTGCCAGATCCAATGCACTTCCGGATTTTTCTTGTGTTGTTCCTGGGGTGACGTCATTGCGGCGCGCTCCAGCTTGGTGATCGGTAGGGATTTCCATGGCAACTCGGGGGGGCGCCACGCCCTCTCGCCGGGGCAGAGACACGCCCTCTGGAGGCTGGGCTGGGGCCGGGGCCCCGCCCATGGGAGGCTGGACCAAAGCTGGAGGTGCTGCCCACCAAGGCGTGGTTAGAAGGGGAGGCGCGACTCACCAGGGTGGAGCTTGGGGCAAGAGTACGTCCCACGAGGGAGGCTGTGTTTCCTTTCTCCCTCTCCTGGCCATGTGGCCACCATCATTTTGGGATAGTTCTCTGATGTCTCCCACAGCAGTTTGGGGTGTTTCTAGAGACTCTGGGCTGGCAACTGAGAGATTATCGGCCAGCAAAGTCTCTCTGCATGCAGTAAGTACTTTTTCTTACATACTTTCGCTGGATAAATCAGCTTTTATCTCTTTTATCAGCTTTAAGATAGTTTTCCAAGGCTTTAAAACTCTAATTGCATTTTAATAATTTTTTAAGGCAGCATTTAGTATTTCTTCCCCAGTTCTAGTCCAATAGTCAATATTTAATGCAGTTTCTTCAGTTGGTTCCACCCCCTTTTCTTTTGTCCATAGAATTAAATCAAAAAGCAATTCTTTTTCATATTCAATTTCCCACTCCTCCAAAAACTCTGTCCATACCTCTATAACTGGATGTGTGTTTGTAGAAAAGAAGTTGCCCATTGTTTTCTTGTAGTTTTTCAGCTGAAGTTTACCTCCGTCTCTAGGACGCTCTTGGCTGGTCAGCTCCTGTTGCCTCTCTTTTTGGGCATCTTTCTCATCTCTCGGATGTATTCCTGACTCTGGCCAATGTTCCCCCTGCCCCTATGGGCAGAACCTGGATCTTGGCCAGAATTCCCCTGGCTCTGGACCAGTATTCCCCTGTCTCTAGGACAGCCCTAGCTCTCGGCCAGTGTCTCCCATCTCTGTGGATAGCCAGTCTCTCCCGCTCGCGGCGGTATGGCTATGCCAGATCACGTCAGGACTCACCAGATGTTGAGTTCGAGTGGCATGGGATCCGAGACAGAAAACCCCACACTGTGATCTATGTGACAAAAACCTTTATTGAGTTCTGACCTCGCTTTATATACCCCATTCAATGTTCCCGGGCAAGCGTCTGTGATTGGTTCCCAGGTTGGGCTGCCCAGCCCTCTGACCAATAGCTCTCTGCAGTCAGGGCTGGAACTCATTGGATTAAATCCTTGTCTGTCTCTAATCCTGTCCTATCTCTGTTCCCTGGGAGCTGGCCTTTTAGCAGGGTTACTTATCCAATCAGTAGTCAGATTAACTGCCCAGTACAAGTCAGCATGTACTGTGACATTTACCCACTTCCCAAAAAACTCTACAGATCTTGTCAAAATACAGACTACAAATCTCTTGCTTACCAGCATCTCTTTAAAGATATCTCAAATT